AAACTGCAAGCGTACTATCACCTTGTATGGACTCGCTTGTCAAGGCTCACATCTGACATATGACTCGTTCTGGCCCAGCATAATACACATATCGATTCATAAACGATATTGATTTTTAATCTGTGGTAAATGCGGTAATCAATTTTGTATTTCGAATCGTTGCTTGATACAATACGGCACGTCTGTTGTCAGTTTTCTAAAATTTTTATTTGTAATGATGTTTGAATTCAGGCTTACTTTTAAATTTTTAGTTTTTTTCTACGTGATATAGCAACGTAATGGACAAAAAAATTCAATCTCAGAAATCATGATCCTTGCTCGGGAACGGGTAGTGTATTTATAGACGCAAGGTCATGTCGCCTGCATTGGTCCCCACAGACTATCTAACACGCAGTGCGACAGACATGCATAGAACAAGTTCTACGTACGTCAAGACGTTCAATTTAAACGTTATTCTATCTATATTACAAGTCTGCTTCAAATAAGCATCTTGATAAAATATTACTAGACATCATAGAGATAATTCTATTTTATAAAGTAAACAGTTGTATTTTGGGAACGTTCAAAATAACGGTACGAAACCAAGTACGAAATGGTTGACCGTGATTCCTGAACGCGACATTGGCAATGAACTATAAATTGGCCGGTTGCGCCGCGTGGGGGCGTTGGCGGTGGTTTTAAATTGTCAAGTAATAACCTCGTAAATCAAACAAATGCAGTGCTAATTCTGTTCCAAAACAAACAACAGCAGGAACATAATTTATGCTTAGAATTCCATTGTGAAACTTTTGTTAAAACATTATTCAAGGTTATTGTTAATACAGAATAAATTTCACAAACGGACTAAAAACTACACAGAGTTAGCAAAAACGGGACTTGGCAAGACCGATGATCAACTTACGGTGAAATTTTAATAACTTTAAAACTTTCTACGGTGGTTAGCGACGTGAGTCATTCGGTTCAGTGTACGCGGGTGTCCCCTCTCTCCGCGGCGACGGAGTGCGACCCGGCCGCCATATCGATCCGAAAGATTCGCCATCTGAATTCACATGTTATCCGCATTGAGTTTCGAGAGTTGATTTAAAACATTTATAGATTAGATATAAATATACATTGATAATTATGCGATTAACCGGTTTAGCGTTAATTAAAAGAAAATGTAAATCAAAAACATACGATAAAGATTTGTTTGTTATTCTGTGTTGCATGAATGATTACTTTTTACTATCGCATTTATTATAATAAACTAGTGAATCTTTTTGTCAATCACGTGTAATTTTCTAAATATAATCTTAGTTGATCTCTCTGTGCGTTTATTGATTTAAATTCTATTAAAATAACTAACATATTTTTCCTGTCAACCATTTTAAAATGTGAATAGTACCGTACGTGAATAACAGTCCAGACATCGCCGGCGGACATTTTGAGCGACCATATGGCGCGCATTCATGGCGGTGTCGTGCGCTTGTTTGGATATTTTTTGTAACACCACGTTTTAATTCTTGCTGTACTTGTTTGCCAAATAAGGTATTGGAAAGGCGCTATTACGTGACGTGGACTGGAGTCATAACAATTTAGAAAAAAAAAGATGCATATGAGATTAGTCGGTTTCGGGTTGTAGAAATTGTTTATATTTTTAAATTTAGTTTGAGTTGAATTTTAATAAATTTAAAAAAAAAATAGTTTCAGACATTTAGTAATAAATGGAATTAAGATTTATTATTTTATTTATATATTTTATTATTTTATTTATTTATATAGATTAGACTATTATGTTGTTTTTAGTAACAATAATGTGCAAATAAATAACTTGAATTTATAAAAAAAGGCGATAAACATGACGCACGTATAAAATTGTTTACAAAACGTACAAGGTGACTCAGTAAGGCAAGCACACGTCCGATAATGGCCATTGTCACCAAGAATGTTTTCTAGAACTCTCCGAATTGTCTGGAATGAAGATGGAATTAAATTGTTTCACTTACGAATTGACTATCGTTTTATTGATGACGTAATCTCTGTAGTATTTAGCTCGTTTGTACAGACGAGCACAAAAGTCTCAACGTAAAAATAAAAACTGATCAAGTTGTCATTTACAATATGGTCCTTTACCAATAACCAACAATATAAAAATAAACGTTAATTAAGTTAATTATACTTCAAATTTCATTTAGCTTTATTAAGGAAAAAATTATTATAAACATAAAATTTATTATTTAAACGGAATATTATCCTGGTTTCACAGTTTATTATGGTATATTTAATTATTACCATTCATTTCGTAGTGTCCAAATACAATGATTTTTTGGCTTTAGACAGCCGAACACTGAGACGAAGTTTTTATATGTAACAGCGACGCAATTGATAAAGCCACGCTTAAATTTCAAATCTATCAGATTGTAAGTGGCGCTTGGTAAGCGAAGCGTTTATAATTCGTTTTAGTATTGAGCCGTATGTCAGTTAATCCAGAACGTAAACTACATAGCGACATGTATGAAAGGCATCGCTTAGTGGCGATTAAATAAGGCAATTTTTTTTAATTGTATTTGGGTTTCTTTTTTGTTTTAACAAACATTACATATTGTCTTTTTAATCTCTACTAGTCCGGTTATAAATGACATTTTATATCTGAAAAGTTGTGTATAACATAAGCTTGCTTTCTCTGTCTACACCTATTTGATTTAATTAAGATTCAAAGTTAATTACGGACACCAAGTTGTTCATCAGACCAAAACGTTGCGGTACCACGTGAAGAGACTGTGGGATCTTATACCGCTAACCGAGAGCCGAGATATAAAATGTAATGTTTTTATATCCAGCAATATTTATTTAAAATGTACATTATTTCTTACAATTCAAAGTTACCGTAAAAGTCCCAAAAATCTCTAAACCGATAAACGGCACAAAACGATATCCTTAGTCTACAAAATAATTTTGTTTTAAATATATTCTCAGAATAAAAAAAAAACGTGTTAATCGATATGTGTAGATTTTAACATGTATTTTTATTAATATTCGATTAAAAATTCGCTTGATTTAAATATATGAAACATGTATAAAATAGTGATGTGCAAAGTTCATTCCGTTTTATCAATACGTCAGTTGTCTCTGGTCTCTGCGTCCCTTGTGTTAATTAAAACGACACTTGAAGTTGGAACGACTTGATTTACTGCCCGCTCGTTTTCATCGCAACGGAAGGGGCTTTCTTATTCAACACTACGTGACGGATTCCAGGCGCGGTTCAACCAATGAGATCTATTTTTAGTATCCAATCGATTGAGAGTGCTCGACATTTTATCTGTATTTTTTTATATATGTTTATAGTACTAATAAAAAGTTTTAAGACTTTGGAGTCAACTTTAAATGTTATCCATGATTGAATAATGTCTCTTTTACCGTTCAGCTGTTACAATAGCAAATGAACTGTATTTACAATAGTTAATAACAAGCATATTATGTTAACATTCAGTACAATTCTGCGTACAAGTTTAACATTAACATCCTTTGGAACACAAAAGATTGTTTCCTTACGAACGCCGGATGTCTATAGATTTAGTATACAGTCCCTGGACAGACAATGAATCGCTTAATTTTATATTCTATTCGTGTTTGCGACTGCACAGGTAGAAGGGACGCCATCTATCGTAATCCTTCACAATAGATAATACAGAAATATTGTGTAAACATCATACTTGAGTTTAATAAACGATAAGATCCTTGAGAAGGCAGCAAATGTCAAAACATTTATAAAGTACTTCAACTGGCAAAATTTTTAATATTTTCTTGCTTCATTATTAGTGTAAAACTTTCTTTAGGTAATGTTACAAATGTAAAACGTTATACGATATCTATAAATGTTTATATTACGCAGTACTTTCCACCCCTATATCCGCCCCCAAGTAGATTGTAAAGGGATGTAATGTGGGGTGTTTTTGTGATAAAATGTTGCATTTCGTTTTACTACGCTCCAATGGTATAAATAGTCCCCGTTGCTACAAAACGAAGGGTTCCATGAAGTAACATGACGAGTAACAGACGGAAATTAAAAAAAAAGTTTGTATTATTAATCTACTAACTTTCACCCGTGTGGAATTAAAAAAAAGTAAGTAGCCTATGTTTTTCGGACTATCCTCTATACCTATGCCAAATTTCATCGAGATCTGTTTAGCATTTTAGGCTACAAACTCTAACAAACATCCATCTAAACTTTCGCATTTATAATATTAGTAAGATTCTGTTTCGTGTGGATTGATGGATGGTATGAATTCTATGTAACTTTATAACGATTTAAAGGATCTAGATAACAGAGGTAGAATTCAGACTGGTGTAGTGCAGAGTTTACAAATTATTTTTTTTTATTTCACTCAAAGTTGCCTCAACCAACTATCTTACTAATGTTATAAATGCGAAAGTTATATGGTTGCATGTATGTTTGTTAGAGTTTGTAGCCTAAAATGCTAAACAGATCTCGATGAAATTTGGCATAGATGTAGAGCATAGTCTGGAATTCTGGAAGAACACATAGGCTACTTACTTTTTTTATTCCACACGGACGGAGTCGCGAACGAAAGCTAGAGCATAATGAAAGACGTCTTTGTTTTAGATAAGTACGTGTACATATCGACATAAAGTGGCATGTTTACGCTCCAGTTGTAGGCATACGATGTGTCATCGGCAATCAGTGACAGCTTGAGTCAAACATTTCTTTGTAATGAAAGTCGATGGACAAAGTCGTTAGATAACATGTCTACAGATAAACGCGTTGATGTATTGCATTTAATATCCGTTGGTTTCTGTGGAAACGGTTTTGTAAAACGTGCTTTTATCTCAATATTTTCAAAGGTCATATTGGAAATAAGAAATTGAATCAAAGTAATAGTTAGCCAAATCACAAAGGAGGTATTACCGCGATTGTAGAATGCTAAGATATGAAGTTAAATAATAAGCTAAGAATATTGTTTTTTATAAACCTCAGTAATTTACTTCCCTTTTGTTGACAGAAAACCAAAAAATGGCCTGCTCCGTCAGTGACACGCCCGCCCTGAAGGACCTCCCCAAGGTCGCCAACGATCTCAAGAGCCAGCTGGAAAGTTTCAACACCGGCTGCCTGCGTGACGTCGACACCAACGAAAAGATTGTGCTGCCATCTGCTGAAGGTAATTTTTTATCTGTCGCTCAATAGGAATCCAAAATGGCCGCCACGAATTGGCCATATGTAGCCTTGAAAATGGAACTTACGAATGTAGTTAACAATAAAGTCTAGTATAATTTATTTTTACGTCAGACATAGCACAAGAGAAGCAACACACAGCGCTACTGCAAGATTTAGAGAAATTCCAACCTTCAGTATTGAGGAAGACAGATACTGTTGAAAAAGTCGTACTTCCGAACGCACTAGGTATAGTGTGCGAGAACCATAGATAACCGCCGTGTTTGATCACATCGAATCACGCTTTGGCTAATTCTAACAAAACCACAATTAAAATAATAATTTTAAACATATATTTTCAGCTAACAAATCGTCCATTTAAAAATCCAGCTGAGAAAGTGTTTGAACATTTAATTTAGAATTTAACAGTGTCAAAAATTAGTTACTCATCAAATATTTGTAATTAGCATGAAAATTGTCTTTTGTTTTTATGTCGTTCTTGTAGTACTTTTAATTAATTAAATACGCGTGTTAACATATTTTTTTAATTTCAAATGTCGTACGATAAATTGCTTTAGCCAATTATAAAATAAATACAAATATTGTCTATGGTTTTCAGATGTTGCCGCCGAAAAAACCCAAAAGTCGTTGTTTGACGGCATCGAAAAATTCGATGCGACCAGACTGAAGCACACAGAAACACAGGAAAAGAATCCTCTCCCAGACAAAGATGGTATGTGATGCGATTTTAGTATGCACGATGTATTCCTACAAAACGCCACAGCATTATATGCACTTTTTCGCCTATTTCACTGAAAGTTAAAATAAGAATACTTGCTTAGATATTGCAAGAAGAATGTTGAATTTTGCAAATGATTTGTCTAAGTTAACGGCATGTAATTTTTATTATATTTGCTTTCGTAAACATTTTTGTGAATAGTATATAATTTTTTTCTTTGTACATGACTTGCATTTTTGTGTGAACGTTGTAAGAGTGAGGGAATATCGAAAATTTAATGGTGAAAATCAAAACATCAAGTAAACGAATTAAAAAAAAAACATTCTTGGTGTAATGGATAGTTCCAAATGTGAATTTGCCTTTACAATCAAACCACAGCAGATTTCTATATTGGCATAAATTTCTCTGCCCCTGACTCATGTATAAATGTTTAGATTACTTCTTTCAATTTACTTATCGGATGGTTACGAATTCCCCTCACCCTTTCATCGCGCATGATGAACCCAGCTTATGACATACATTACTTTGCTGCACGATTTTGCTTACGCCAGTTGTCGCCGCGGAGAAAGCCCATCAGAACCTCCTCGACGGCGTTGAACATTACGACAAGACCCAGATGAAACACACCACCACAGAAGAAAAGAACCCATTGCCGCCCAAAGAAGGTTTTTACCGCTTTTGTTTCTGCCATTTCTTATAATCTATGCATTATGCGTAGCTTTTATTATCTATGTCTATGCTGATGAAATGCTGCAATGAAATATTTATTTACGTTTATTGAATATCTGATTTTATTCTTTTATTACTAGCAACTTCCATTTAGTGTACACAAGACTATGGAAGAGTTTTTTTTACATTGTATGTTATTTGGTATATTTGATAGTGTTTACCGAAATTGGATTTAGAATACACATGCACTGATAACGGGAATAAAAAATAGATTTGAAACAGTCATAACATTTTGATCAAATAATCTATATAGATTATTCAGTTAACATCTTTGTTATCATAAATCAAAAACTTTGTACAGAATAGTAAATTAAACTTATCGTTTTCCTTAAAAAACATTATGAGTACTAGTAAATTTTTATTAAACAAATCCCCTTTAAATTAATTAATTTGCAACTATTTCTTGAAACAGCTATTGAAGCGGAGAAGGAAAAGAACAAGTTCCTGAACGGCATCGAGAACTTCGACCCAGCCAAGCTGAAGCACACGGAGACGTGCGAAAAGAACCCCCTGCCTACCAAGGACATCATCGAGCAGGAAAAGACGGCCTGAACGCCTATAAATTAATTAACCGCAATCATATATCGCTAGTATCGCCGTATTTTAGTATCTGTATAAGTTTCTTATAAGTAACAGGCCCGTTTGCGTCGTCCGTTAATTTAAAAAAATTACAAATTCAATTTCCGAACGAAACTGTCATTCACATTTCAAATTCAACCGTTTCCATAGATTAAAATTTAAGACAACACGAGAACAAGAACAAGGCTGATAAAGAAATAATAGTACAACTATTTTTGTCTATGGTGAAGTAGTTTTATGAACTTTTTTGTAAGAGATGATGTTATAGCCGTCTCGTTTTACTGTTCGTCGCCCGGACTTCCCCGTTCACGCATCTCGTCTATGGACAAATGGAAACGGGCTTCGTAAACTGGTCATTTATCATTAGTATTTAAGAACCAAATTTTCTATGTCACTTTTAACATGATATAATATGTAATAAGTGTATTTTATGAGCATTTTATTTAATTTATATTTGAAGATATTAATTAAGATTCTGTACTGATTTTATTTTAGGTCGGAGACACACTGCACTCCATGATAACTGAAACTTTATTTATATTTGAAAATAATGATTTGCTTTTGTGTGCTTGTGTTCTCCATGTTTTAGTTGAGATTAATTAGACGACTGAGAGAATCGTGCATCGAATTGGAAATAGTTCTGATTAAAGAAATAGGGAGTGTAGTTGCTAAAATGTTTTAAAAATTAAAAAATCGATTTCTTTTTAATAAAATGATCTTGTTTGTTCGATAACGGTAATATTTTAACGCAATATAAATGCTCAATTATGTACCGGAATGCTAAGAGTCTGTTTTATGTAACAATAGTCGAAGCAATAGTGTTCTCTTCTGATACGAACAATAATTTTATACCGATTTTATACTACATTGTGTTAAACCACAATAATTTTTCACTATTAATATGCTAAAGATGCCAATAAAAACATTTTATCGACGATTTGTACGTTTTACAGACGGTGCTTTTTTATAAATAAAAAAGAAAAAATACTTTGTGTTTTATTTACTCTTACGTTCTCTAAAAAAAACACTGAAAAATGTATCTCCTTTCCTAACTAAATCAGATGGAGTAATGTAAATCTTGTAGAATATAGATTTATTTGAACTCCAGACGAAATAATTGGTGGTATATATATATATATATATATATATATATAAGAATTATATATATATATATACCACCAATATATATATATATATATATATAAATATACTCGATATGAAATCATGTTGATTATTATTTTACTTTCACTATTCTGTTTCGATAAATATATAGAGCAAATTAATAAAGAATTTAAATATTACATTACATATCGAAACAATAAAGAATACTGATAGGTAATTTAAAAACTACCGTACTTTTTTTCAGACTCAAGTTGATCAGGCATGCAACACTAAGAATTGTCAAATCGATTAAGTTAAATTTAACAAACAGGAATATAACTTAGTTATTTATTAAATACCGCTTAATTATTGAAAAATACAGTTCATACAGCGGTTTTTATCCTATTTTGTTTCAAAATCAATAAAATTTCATTCATCAACAGAGCTCAATGCCATATTTTATCTGTGGCAACAACTACGCAAAAATGATATTTTGTTGGGTCTTTGATTTTCCTTCCCGCTTCCCGCCGGCTGTTGACGGTTTGGTTTTGGCACGTGCAATTTTTTCATTACAATAAATAAACCAGCGCTACTCACCTTTTAGCTGGTTTGTCACTGATGCTGACTGTTGGAGAATATTATTTTGGTAAGTGAATTCTTATTTAGTAAACAACATCTATATTGCGATTTCTCTGCACGTGTTTTATATTGTACACTGAACAACAAAACATCCATTTGCATTTGCAAGACAATGTAGTTACGATATGGTCCCTGTCTAATAATCGGTATTTATTATAAGATTTTGATTTGTGTACAACTGGCGCTCGCGAACGTTTGATCTGTATATTCATTTGATAGGCGTCAATTGTTATTGTTTATCTACAGATCGCTAGCAGATTGTTAAAATGCCGCCGTCCCCTGTACGATACAGAGTGCCTTGGAAAGTTAATAAGCGCTCCTCTGAACCTGATAGATGGCTAGACGAAATGGGTTTTTTTCGAAAACATACTGCTAGGGATTCCAGCTGTCTATTCAGAACTGTCTCTGAAAACATTTATAACACTCAGCGTTATTTCCACAAAGTGCGCATCGATTGTGTTCAGTTCATGTCTGCTAAAAGACATCTCTTTGAAGGGGTAGGTTTTTGCACTATTTATTTTGATTCGTTTTTAATTTTTCTTTTTATGTTTAGTTGTCACAATTATATTGTTATTTTATTTCATAGTCCTTGAATTGTTCATTTGAAAATTATCTCAAAGAGATGTCGAATCCATCTGAATGGGGTGGTCTTATTGAAATATCTGCTATGAGCCACCTGTATCGGTAAGAATGTTGTTTTGACATCAATTTATTGATATCAAAGTATCAAAAGCCTAATTTTTCTTTGAATTAATTTTTCCAGACGTGATTTTGTTATTTTTGAAGCCAACAAAGGCCCTCAAACAAAAATTTGCAATGGTTATGGAAATACAATTTACTTATTTTATTCTCCTGATACAAAGCATTTTGATTCTGTGTATACCAAAGAATTTATTAACACATCATCATTTTGTCAATGTAAGTGACAGTTTTTACATTTTAAATTTTGAAATAACCTTTCTATTCTTTAATTTATTTAAATTCATCATAAGTTAACATTTTGTTTTAATTTCCTTTAAAATATCTTTGTTTTTTATCATTTATAGCACTGGTTTATGAGATTCTTTACGACGGTGTTTACAAAATAAAAGACCTTCCTTACGCTGTTGATAAAATGCTTCATGACAAAATTCCATCTAATCATATTGAGTACTTTATGTCTGAAAATGTAGAACGTAGAAAGAAACAAAAGGATAGAGCAAAAATTTTCATAGAAACGATTAGTGATGACGATAAGGATAAAAATAATAATGCTGTGGCTTTGAAATGCAAACATCATACCGAGGATCTCGAAAGGGGCAGCCTTTTGAAGGAATCGCTGAGCATTTTTGTGTTCAACCGTAGTTTAATTCAGCTTGAAAATGTTTGTATAAATTGTTTGAACGTGAATAGCGCTAAAGACTTGCTCGATAATGGTATTACACCCTTCCCATATAAAGTAGCAAAGGCTTTAGATCCTGATATTTATCGTAATATTGAATTTGATGTATGGAGTGAACTAAGAAGAGGTAATTTCTGATTTTTCGAAATAAAACGTTTATTTGTGTATGAATAACAAGGCGAAATAGCTAACATAACTGATTTTTATACGTATTTGTACTACAGTAGAACCTCGGTAACTTAAAAACCTCTCTTCAAGAAATAATATCCCCTTCGCATCAGAACCCAAAACCTCTACAACATAGACCCTTGATAACTTAAAACTTAACTATAACTAAAAGTATTTTGTGTTTCCCTTGGACTTTAACTTATCGAGGTTCTAGTGTCTAAACATTTTACAGAGTTTCGTTATGGAGCTAGATATTCCGATGGTACCACTTTACAAGTAGGTGTAAAATGTCTTTGCAAGCTGCAATCTGATCAGTCGGTACCATACCACTGTCATATCCAAGAGATGAGCCCGGAAGGTGGGCCTTGTCTCGTATTCATTGAAGAGTTGGGAGAGAAACGTGTCGTGGGCTATGACCAATTGGAACCATTGCCAATCGAGGAGATACGTCCCTGGGCCCCGCCTTACCGTTTCTCACGTACTAGCTCCCAGTTCTTGTCTCTCAGCCAAATGTTGCAACAATTAGGTGCGGTTTTGTTTAATTCGTTTAATTTTTTTTTAAATTGGAATGGCTAAAAGTACAGACTGTTGTATGTAATAGGTAATATAACTAGAAAACAAGGGATTAAAGGAAGGAATAAGAAAGGAGATGATATGAAGAGTATGGAGAAAAATTCAATGAAGAATAATGAAAAACTTGAACCTCAACCCCCATATATAAACCACGCCGTTGACTATTCAGCGTATCATCACATGGATTTCTTTAATTTTGAACCTATGCCTGTTAGTTTGTTTTAATATATTTTAGTTGCATTTTCTAAGCACGGCACTTGACTGCTGGCATCAGTCCTTAATAAAACCACCTTTAATTCAAAACTTACCCCCTTTACTATAATACTTTAAGCATAAAAAACAATTAACACTTTTTTTGTTTAAATAAATTTGAGATTTTTTTTTATTTTACAAAGGTTTAAAACTAATGGAATTTTTTATATTAAGTCAAGTGTTATGTTTAGAAAAAAAGTAGAAAGCCATATCGTAGCTAGATTGTAATATGTAAATAGGAAAAATAAATAATTTCACAATTATTCAATAAAATTAAAAGGAAACGAGAAATTACTCCTACACATTTTTAGCTGATAATTTCATTTTTTTATGGATTTATTTTGGATATCCTGGTGTCTAAATAGATCATACAAATTTGTTTATTTTTAATAAGTCTTGTTCTTCATGTTGATTTCTCGTTTCTATTAAATTCTACTATTATTCTAAGTTTGTTAGCTTCATCGCAAATATATTGCTGTCTCATTACTTTCAATGAAAATAAATGAGAAAACAAACATATTCTTGTAATGTGTATGACAATGGAATTAGTTATTTTGTAGTAGATAAGCTTTTAGAAAGTAGTTAGTTTTTTACTTTACAGCTTTTTTGACATATTCTAGGAACATCAATATAAATGATATATGAAATTACATAAAGAATTATGTTAATCATTTCTAAATAATTGTTTTATTACCCTCTCGTAATGTAGTCCAATTTAGACTGCCTATTTTGTTTTTTTTTAATAGCTGAAATAGCTGCTTAATTGTTAGTATGTTTTTAAGTTAGTTGATGTGTTTAAGTCTACATTAGTGTAATTTTATGTAATATCAGGTTGAAGTGGAAGCACTGCCCCTGATGGTGGACTGTCGGCCGGCGGCGGGCGCTCCGCCCCACGAGATGCAGCCCCACAACGGAGCTCCCCATGATAACCACCAAGTATGTGCTCAATTGTTCTTATACTTTTTGTAGTTATATTTTCTTCTTGGAGTTCTAAACATTTTACAGGGCGTGTGGGCGACCGCCCAGGGCGTTGATTTACAGTCCAACAAAACTTTGTTTACACCTAGTCCCAAATGTGCAAAGAAATGGGGCGTCGTAGATATCTCAGGGCGCTAGTAACGCTAAAATCAGTATTGCACACAGGAACCAATTTAAATTGTGAGAATTACATTAAGAAATCAGTAAAGATTTTTTTCATTCAGCTATAGTTTTAAGTGATATTTGATGGATTCTTTGCCCTGATTATGTTGTCAATAGGATAAACACTGTACCAGTAACTATATTTCTATAGTATTTCCACTAGCTTCCGCCTGCGACGCCGTTTGCGTGGTATTAAAAAAACAAAAGAAAGTAGCCTATGTGTTCTTCCAGACTAACCTCTACATCTATCCCAAATTTCATCCAGATCCATTCAGCCGTTTAGGCTACAAACTCTAACAAACATCCATCCATCTATCCATCCATCAAAACTGGCAAAATTATAATATTAGTATTTCTTATATAATTGTTCATGTTCAGGGTGCAGGCAGCGGCGCCGGCGACATGGCGGGGCCGGGCGGCGCGTCGCCCGCCGCGCGCGCCTCCACGCCCGCGCCCGCCCAGCCGCCCCCGCATGCCGCGCTGCCCGCATACGCAGGTTAGTTACCATTTAAGGACAAAATGACTTCATATTTCACTTAGGGCGTTTTCTGAGTGCTCTTGGTATTGTGGGGGCGAGCTGGCCCATTTGTGTAACAGACATCTAAATCTGTCCAATCTTACTAATATTATAAAGGCAATAGTTTAGATGGATGGATGGATGTTTGTTAGAGTTTGTAGCATAAACGGCCGTACGGATCTGGATGAAAATTGGTATAGACATTAAGCACAGTCTGGAAGAACACTTAGGCACTTTTTTTTTTAAATTCACGCGGATTTAGTCCCGCGCGATAGCTAGTGTTTTATAACAATCTTAAGTTTTTTAGTCTGTATATCTGAAGGTGGAGAGTATACCCATGGGTGTCAATATCCGCAGGTGGTATGAACCAGTGCGGGGCAGTGCCGTGCGGCATGGGCGGGCCGCCGCTGCCGCCGATGCCGGGCATGCCGTTCGTGGGCGGCGTGGGGGCCGTAGGGGGCGTCGGGGGCGTGGGCGTGGGCGGCGTAGGGGGCGTGGGCGGGTACTGCGCGCCCTACTGCAAGCAGGTGATGTGGTACTCGCCGCAGGGCCACGTGCCGCCGCCGCCGCCGCCCGGAGTCAACATCAACGCGGGCCGCAGCCTCCAGCACAACGGATCTGATCTGCCAATGAACGGTACCGAATATGGTAACAATGTTCTTACCACCTTACTGTCTCCTGAGACGATGTCACAGCTTAATTTAGAATGAGATAAAAGGAAGCGACAAAAAGAGATGGCACAAAAATGACTAGTATAAGTAATAAAATAGCAGTCCTTTTTTTGTTTTTACATCTTTGACGAGTAATGCATTTCTGTTACACTCAGTCCTATAAAGTCCTCCCAACGGTATAATAAGTTCTCTTAGCAATCATTAACGATTCTGAGTATAAATTGAGTATGTGTTATTTGTTTCAGATATGGTAACGCTGCGTTACTATTACAACTTGGGCGTGGAGTGCATGTGGGCGGCGTACGGCTGCCCGCCGCAGCTGCCGCAGCCCCCGCAGCCCCCGCAGCCCCCGCGACAGTACTCGGCACGGGATATAACACAGGTGATCATACTAATATTATAAATGTGAAAGTTTATATGGATGGAGGGATGTTTGTTAGAGTTTGTAGCCTAAACGATTGAACGGATCTAGAGGATAATGGATGAAAACATAGGCTACTCACTTTCTTTTTTTTAAATTTCACGCCGACGGAGTCGCGGGCGAAAGCTAGTACTAGATATAAAACATATGCTTAATAACAACTACTAAATGTTGAATGAATTAAAATAAAAACATAGTAAATCTATTCTTCCAGACTATGTTCTACATCTGAGATATAAATCAAGATCGGATCACCCGTTTTAACTTCTAGTACCGATCAATCTAAACTTTCGCATTTACAATACTAGTAAGGTCTTTATCATTACTATTATAAATGCAAAAGTTTGGATGGATGTTTGTTAGAGTTTGTAGTCTAAATTGCTGAACAGACCTCATTAAATTTGGCATTTGGCATAAACTGGCATAATCTGAAAGAAACATAAAGGCTATTCACTATTGTTTTAATTAAAGCACTTTAAAAGCTAGTTTCTCATAGTTATATAATTGTTGCAGGAGATGCAGCAGGTGTCGCTGCAGGAGCGCGCGGCCGAGGGCAACCACAAATATAAGAGCCCGCCCAACGACAAGCAGCCGCTCAACAACCAGGGCAAGGGCAACGGACAAAGACCTCTATTAGGACCTAGGTTATATTTTAATATCCTATGTGTTCTTCCAGATGTTATATATCTATGTTTAGTTCTAGCTAAATTCGTTAATCTAAGCTTTCGCATTTGACTATAAAAGCAAATGCGTTTCTTTATTTTTTAATTATTTATTAAATGTATATTTGATGTAATTATTTTAAAAGTAAAAATATTGATTTAAAGCATATTTGCTTTTATACTCTACATGTATACTAGCGGTTGCTCGCAGCTTCATCCATGTAAAATAAAAAAATACTAAAAAATTTAGACTATGTTACTGATAATGTAGCTTTTTAATGGTGAAGGAATTTTTTAAATCGTCTCAGGGCCCACAAATCTTTTCTCCTTATAGTGGTATAGACGATATGTTCTATACTATGCTAATGTTAAGTATTTTGGTGTCATAAATGATAATTTAATCCAGGTTCAAGCGCGGTGGTAACCACCAGGACGGTGGCAACCAGAACAACCATAACCAGAACAAGGGCCATAACAATATGCCCAATAAGGGATCCAATAATCGGTAAATATACAAACTTATATACAAATTTTACCAACAATTCCAAAATAAATAAAAGAAAAAACAAAATTCGATAAATAATTTATTGTTTTTGTAACCTTACATTAACGTTCATATTACATCTCTAATGTTACTAATATTATAAATGCGAAAGTTTGGAAAGTCTGGAAGAATATAGACAACTTACTATTTTATACGATGCGGTCGCAGGCGAAACTTACTGTTATAAAGGAAAAAGATTTGTATTTTGTCTAATTAACTCGTAAATTATTGCCCCGATTTCAAAGATTGTTTCACCATTAGAAGACATCATCACCAAATAACATAGGATATTTTCAATTCTTATTTTTCTTTTATTTCCATGTGGACAATAATGTATGTTAATAATATTCTTAATGTGGCTTTGGTCATCTCTTCTTTTTATACTTGCGAATTATTTGAATAACAATTTAATCGTTTATTTTTTAGTGTGTAAATGTTTTCAGATTTTATTCTCTGAATTGTTTAAACCTATTTTCTTTATTTACTGTAAAGGCAAATTAGATTGGACATCTATAGATTAACGGCTGAATAATGAAACGAAACAACAATTATTACCCGTTTTCAATCTGACAGACGTGAACATTTTAACACTTGACATTCGGGGAACGTTTTTTACATATTTACTAATTTGTAAATAACATAGAAGTTTTCGATTCACTACGACATATCCGGTGAACGAAATATCCCAGCGATTTACTAAAACACACGCTGCAATGCTGAATACTTGTAATTCATCGCAAGTATTGCTCCGCACGCCAAGTGTTATATGAAATTTGTAGCTTAAGCTTTAATTAAGGACCCTGTTACATATAATTATTTCAGTATTCGTGTATAAAGTTACTATTTCAGTCGTAACTCTCACAACGAGCGCGGCGGCGCGCCGCAGCTGTACGGCGGCGGCGGCGGGGCGGAGGGCGAGTGCGTGCTGGAGCCGCCGCTGCTCACCGTGCCCTACTGCCAGTACCCGCCGCCGCTCTACCCGCTGCCCTACTACCCCATGGAGGACCCAGGTACTGCATACCGCCCTTATTTAGCACCCTGGACTGCAAAAGTAACCCTATTTTTCTACTAGTCTTTAGTGTTCAAGATTAACTTTATAATATCTTTATAAGGACAGGAAACAAAAGTGTTGGGGGGGGGGATGACAATATTCTATTTCTGTGCGTCCCCTCCTAGGTAATATCCTCTATTAGGTAATATATCTGCAAATTACAAAGGCCCATTGCTTCGATAATTTGTAACGATTTGTAATATTACTATTTTATAATTAATCGATTGTTTGTTAAGGATGTTTTTAGAAACGAAGCGTTTATGTTTTACAGCGATGATGGGCATGATGGGCGGCATGGGATACGTGGGATATGACGAGGGGTTGGAGTACGGACCCCCCGTGCAGCACTACTACGCCGCGCCGCACTACCCGCCGCCCCCCGCGCTGGCCGCCGCTCCCGCCGCGCCTCCTGCGCCTCTGCCGCACCACCTCGCCCCGCACCCACCACACGCCCCCCACCAGCACCCCCCGCCGCCCCACCACCAACACCACGCCGAACACAAGTAGACTGACATCCCCGCGACAATTGAACGATATGCAAACGACTACGGTAATGTTGAAACGGTATATGAACGACTACGGCAATGTTGAAACGGTATCCAAAAGACCACGGCAATGTTGGAACGGTATATGAACGACTACGGCAATGTTGAAACGGTATCCAAAAGACCACGGCAATGTTGAAACGGTATACGGACGATTAAGGCAATGTTGGAACGATGTTTAATAGACGGTATGTTTAAACAATATCTAAAAGACCCATAGTGTTGTTAAAACAGTATCTAAATGGCTACGGAAATTTTAAACTAACCCTAACTTACGCATAAACGGATATGTTTAATAGAAATCTCTTTGAATCTCACTACACTATGTTGTAGAAAATTGCCGCTCTTGATATTGTCACACGTTATTACCTAGTGCACTATTTATTTAAATGTATAGTATCGATATATTTATAGTTTTCATCTATTTTCTATACTTTGGACTATATTTCTGTTTAATTACTATTTGTACTGCAGTTTCCCTTCTGCCCACCTCCCTGACATCGCAGCGTAAAGAAATACTTTGGTAGTTAAAACAACCATTCGTTTTTAATTTTTATATTGGCAGCTACATCAATAGTTAAAACGTGCTTCTCTTTACCTGTCTACCTATTATCTTCATTTGCTGTGTAATATAAGTGAAAACAGTGAAAGCCTACGTTATAACATTGCTAGGAATGTCTGACAACGATGCTCAACGAATACGGTATACGATTACTAGGTGTAGATATATAATCTATAGACGGAAAAAAGTCAAAAAAGACCTCCATAGGTCTATTTTTTACAATAAATGACATTTCAAAAAATTAGACGGTATTCATTGTATGGATCTTTTCTATAGATTATATATCTACGCTATAAGGATGTTTTTATGCTATGTGCAAATTATTTACAGAGTCAATTAAATTTTATGCTCAAATTTTTGTAACAAATCTTTGATTTTTTATTTTTTGAGGTTACGTTTTTTCTGTATACAACGGTGTAGTCTCTGTCTACACCAAAACGGTAGACTTGTTGCACATAGCATAAATTAAACGTTTTTTTTTATGTAGAATCGGGAAATAATTAATAATGCAATTGATTTGCACTTCAACCTTTACTGAGCTGTTTTTTTTTCATTATTTTGCGATCCGCGACTGATTTTTTTGCATTTTTTTGGTTAAAATATTAGAGTATAGAATTAACAAGTAAGATTTCCATTATTCCTAAATGTTTACAAATGTAGAAATATTGATGTCAAAAAATGTCTAAAAATGACAAAAGTAAGTTGTAAACGTTTTTTTTGCAATTCACTTTTGTCATAAAAAATAAAAAAAAATGATTGTTGTTGTAAAATTATTGTGTAATGGCAACATATATGCCATTTTAAAGATATTAAATGTGCGTAGTTAAAGGGTCGAAAGTGATTTTAATGGACCAAGGAAAAGGTACAGTCCTTCAATAATTATGTAGTTTTCCCCTAAAAAGCGCATTTTATTTGCTTTAACTTCAGATGCATAAAAATTGCAAATTTCATGTAAATTCTCTGTAATAAACCACTTTGCTCAAAATTTTATTCCACATATCGAAATTTAAGGAAATATTAAAAAAATATCTATACATTTTTTAGATAAATAGAGACGTTTTCGTTAAAAACTCCATCTATAACACTTGTGTTGACAAACATTGAAATAAAATAGATATGTCTAAATGTCCAGATTACACTATTCCAGTCCAGCGATCGAAATCAGTGTTGGATTGTATTCCAGGAAATATGAACACGCTTCACTTTACATCTGGAAATGTTAACACACTGAACATTATAACTGAAAATGTGAACACACTTTATATTACATCTGGAAATGTGAACGCACCCTAACAATTACAACTAAAAATGCAAATACATAGTAAACAATGCAAATAAAAATGTTAACACATTGATGTAATGGAATTGGAAATTTAAACACTCGTTAGACATTACAACAGGAAATGTAAACACACATTTATACACACACACACACACACACACATTCTAATGTGTCCTTTTATAGTTGTAATCCAGCGATGATTAGGATCGCTGGACTGGAATAATGTAAACCGGGCTGTACACAAGTGTGAGAGTAATGGAGTTCGGGTAAAAGCACCATTTTTCAAATATTTGTCATACATCTTCAATCCCCGTGTTGGTGCTGGTTTGTTTTGGGGTCGACAGGGTCTTTGAGGTATTTTAGTAGATCGCGCGATGATGTCGCGTAGACTAAGGGCGAGCTTATCATTCCTTAAGGTGCATTTTGTAACGTTTAAGCCAATTTCTTTTTAATTAAGTCTATTTTACGTGGCAAATGTACGCAAGAAATTAACCAATCTGAGACGCACGACGTATTGTGAACAAGCTTTTTTATGACAAAATTGTATGGATGTTTTGGATGGAGACCTAAAAATAAAGTATTGTCATTTTAATATGATAAGCACCTTAAATAACCTTACAGTTACTCAAAGTGTGTAAGTACCACAGTTACTTAAAACTAACTTAAATCTCCTGGTTTTTTATCTCGTGCGTTTGTAATATAAAGTCATCAAAGATGACATTTAAGCTGTCGCGTCTCAATTTTTGTATATAAACTAACATAAATTTAAGTTACTTAAGTCAATTTTCAAGTTGAAATTTCAGTATCCAATAGTTTTAGACGACCGATCTCAAATTTCATGAAAATTATTTGAATCTCCTCAAAAAAAACTAATAAGTAACGTATGGTTTTTCCTATATTTTGATCTCATCTTTTAAAACAGCTTAAGATTAACTTTGGTGCTTGGGTAGTGTTTTAGTTAGTAGCCGCGTCCATCCTAGTCTACCTAGCATTTAATAATATTAGTATAAGGGTCCGTACACACAGGAGCGTAGAATAGAACAGAATATTGCAAATTAAATTGATCTTTATATGATTGACAGGTTTAATTTTAATTTTTACACTTGATAAAACAAGAAAAAAAACCTTATTTCAATGGTATAAAGTTTAGTTTTATTTGGTTAATTTTATTTACATCTGGTCTGCACTACGCTTGTGTGTAAGGACCCTAAAGTGTATTGAGGGACTGGAAAGGGCCGAACATGAACGAATGACCTTGAGAATGTTCTAGTTGTCCCCACTGTTGACACATGTATCAATACATGTTTCTGCAGTGGGACTTATATGCAGTAGTTTTTGTCTATCGATGTTGTGAATGTTAGTATATACGTACAAACTTACAAATAAACTCGATATAAAGTTAAACTTAGGAATAAGAATATAAGCAAATATTAGTACAAATTTTGCTTATACTCAACTTATTCCTATGTTTAAATTTATTCAGAGTTTATTTGTAAGGCTGTAAATGTTCGAAATCTAATACATTTATTATATTTAGAAATGTAATTGAATTATATTCAATATTGATGTTCCCCCTTTACAATTACATACTTTCCAGTTTTCTTCATCGCACAACAAAATTCCCTTGAAATATTTTTGGAATGTCTTTATATATTCGGCTGTGATCGGTGCACAATGAGTCGCTGTACACGAACCGCTTCAGCGTTTAGCGTGTGCAGATTGCGGTCCGTGTACAGCGGCCTAAATACGGCGGTAGACGTCTTAGTTTTATTTACCAAGTCCAGTATAAATGTATTTGTACATCCCGTTAATTTTTGAGATATTTTCAAATTCTTGACTATTCAGATATAAATGACTTGTGTATTTAAATCCGCCCAAGTTTTTTTGTAACAGTACTTTAGGGGGCGTCCATAAATTACCTGAGGTGTTTAAGGGGGAAGGGAGTCGAGTCTAATCTCATCTAATCTTACGTTGGAGGGAGGAGGGTCTCGGCAAATATCACGCAATATTTTTCTGATTGAAACAAAAAAAATATTCAATTTTGCTCCATTTAATCCAGATTGTACATTTTGAAAAATTTCACGTGAGATTAGGGGTTGGGGGAGGTTGAATAAAATCTCACGATATCTCACCAGGGGGAAGGGAGGTGCAGAAAATTAAAAAAAAAACACCTCTCGTAATTTATCGACGCCCCCTTATCCTTAATATAATTAAGTATATATCTATATGTGTAGACGCAAAAGTTTAATTGTTTGTACAGTGAGTTGTTATAAAATAATTTAAAAAAAATACAAAAAAATATATGTCTGTGTAGTTGTGTGTGTAGTTCGGTGTTTCAGTATTAGTTTTAAATTTCTAGGAGTTAGGAGTTTATGTTAGTCGTTAAATGTTTACTTAACATAGTGTTACTTTTTTTTTAAGAATACAAATTCTGTTTATATTGTTTCCGTGTTGGCCGCGAGTCGGGCCGTTGTTTCGTTTCCATGGAATAGATTAATATTTTTGTGCCAAACGAATAAGGTTTTCTGAAGAAATACTTGTTCGGTAAGATAGTTTTGACGCCACATCAATTTCTACTACACTTTGTGTTGTGAATAAATATAAGTTTTTACGTGTAAGGCCCTTTATACACAAGGGCAACATATCTTCGAAATTAAAGTCTCGCGACGCGAGTACGTCGTAGCGCGTGCAACTATAGTCATCAGGTATAGTAATTTACAAAATCTCAATTGTATTTGCTGTACATTTTGAAAATTATCCCATTTTGCCACGATCAGGTTACTAAGAACTGGTCATAACCATAACAACAAAATGTCAGCGATGTGTGACTCTAACTTCTATAACAGAGTATTTTAAGTCGCTGAGCGACTAAAATCGCGAGGTTTCTAAGATGTAGACTCGTGTACGAAGGGCCTTACATTATGGTTGTAATAGGTTTTAAGGCGCCGAGCGCGCTTTGACACATTGATTGTATTTTTTTGTCTAAATTACAGTAATTAAAAGTCAACTGATTTCATTATTTGTTTTATTTCAAACCACTACCTATCAAATCGTACAAGAACGCGTAAATAGGCTCTGTCAAGTCAGGCCAGCTACAATCAAGTTTTACTGGACAGTAAGAAATATCATTTCATTCAAGTATTCGACAGTTTTTTTTTTTTCAAATAATGATTTTCGATGGGATCCTAAGGGAACCCTCCGCTTAAGTCTGAAGCTGCAAATGTATCTGCAAGGCAATCAGTGCCAAATCATACAAAAAAACCTCTCATTCTCTTTCGAGTAACAGTCAAATAGTTACAGCAGAAAATGGTTATGTAGTGTTTAGGGAAAGCGATACGTGAAGCGAAATATTACCCTAATTAATAAACTTGTTTGAAAAAGCTATGTGGAAGTGAATGAAGATAATTTTTATCGAAAATATTATTGCTGATATTATTTTTTAACAGCCTTTTAAAAGCTATCATCTCATTTTTCAAATATTATAAACGGGAAAATTTAGATGGATGGATGCTTGTTACCTTTTGTAACCTAAACTGCTGAACGAATCTATGACATTTGGCATAGATGTAAATGATACATAGGCTACTTGCTTTTGTTTTTTTTCTAATTCCACACGGACAGAGTCGCGGGCGATAGCTAAACTACAATATTTTTTAAATTTAATTGCTGTATAATGCTTCAATACAATAATTTAATTCAAATATAACTAACACTATCTTGATTCAGCAAATAAAGTATTATGAAAAAGTAACTTCTCAATGACTCGTCATTTTGAATCTGAAAACTTATGATGATTGAGTACTTTAATGATAAGAAGAATTACTTTTATAAATAGTCAATATTATATTGCACTAGCTGTTCCCGTGCGGCTTCATCTACATGCAATTATAAAAACTTTATTTTATTGTTTACATTTGTCAAATTCAAATGTCTCAATTGCAAATGTCAAAAGAACCGTTACCATAATTAACTTGCTTCGTTAAAGTAGCTTGTAGTTTATGGTCTCTTTCCCAAATGAGGGTTTTTCCAATTTATTTACCTCTTAAGTTTGATAGCGTGAAAATATACTGCTTAAAACGTATCGTAAGTGTAGGGATTTTTATTAAAAAAAGAGTTATCCAAAAATATGCAGTGATTGCTGATATTCTACGCCACGAACTAGTGTGTGTTTACGCTTCGTTATATTAGTATAGATATATATTATCTATGGTCAATATGTTAGGAAACTGATTATGGACCTTTCGGGTATTATACTAAAGACATTTTTTCTTCTCTTCAATATATTATTGCAAAGTCACTATTGCACAATATATCGTAAGAGATCGTAAATCTATATTAATATTATAAAGAGGAAAGATTTGTATTTTTGTATAAAACTATTAGGCTAACATGAAAAATTCTTTCACCAATAGAAAGCTGCGTTATCAATGGGTTATGTTTTTAACTGGTTTTTTTTTAATTCCACGGGGAAGAAGTCACAAGCAACATTTAGTTAATTATGTAAATAGCTGAGTAACCATGGATTTTTATTATCACGGTGAATAAGCTTGGTTAGGAATAAAATTTCTTAAATGTTGTCCAATAACTTATCAAAACATTGTTTGATAAGTATCGGAATCTTTTTAATGATAACATAATATATAAATATAATAATATAAAAACAATAACGATATACTGATTTACAGACTCGCCTCGTCGCTGACCCCAGTAAGTACATATATTTCGATTTTACATATATAATTTATAAAACAAAAATATTGAATTACTAGATTTCGCCCGCGACTCCGTTAACGTGGAATTAAAAAAACAAAAAACCGTCTATCCATCTAAACTTTCGCATTTATAATAATTGTAAGATTTCATATTTTTAGAGAAACATATTTAAAGAAATGTAGTCTTTTGTTTTGGTCTCGAAAGTAATATAAATTAAAAAATGGTTATCTACTCTGTAAAGAATGGGGAGAAGAATACACAACCGGTACATTCTGAAAACAATTTTAATTCATTAAAATTAATTACAATTCTTATATTTTATGTCAATGTGGATGTACTATCACTGAATCTGGCGGTCTTCCCTCTAAAAGCTACGGTCGCTTGAACATTCTGTTCGCATTGACTATGTAGACGATAACCAATAGAACGCAATAAAGCGTGTCTACGACAAAAGTCGGTCACTGACTACTAACGGTATATGGATATTTTTTTATTATTATCCCATGGTTTGCACAACTCACTGCTACCTAGATTTATAAGAAAGAGCGGTGTTTGGTAAGATACAAGGCAACTTTAAAACACTGCGTATTTCCGCGACTGTACAAGTCACATTACACCCCCCACTACTTCCGCAACTAATAACCTAAATACTATTCAATATCAATCAACAGTATTTGCTTATCATTATTAAAGGCGTGTGTTTTAGAAGTGCTTTTAGTATAAAATATAGTGGAAAGTGATAAAAATAATGGCCTGCTTGGATAAAACCACGGTACCTTTGTCTTTAATTATTTTAAAATAACTAAACCTTTATAATTCGGATAGAAATATAATTAAAATTTGCTAGATTATTAGTAAGGTTAACCACGTTGATTAGAACAAACTTTTTTCTTAGTAAAAGGATCCTAAGCTGTCCACTAAGATTCAATAATGTTTTTCTCGGGTACAGAGTTAATGTTAAAGTATAAATTACAACTAAAGCAATCTATAACGATGAGATTACGCAATTATCACATTTAATATAAGAATTGTTATTTTTAATTCAAAGGATGTCGTTATTAGTTTCTTATCTCTCCCACTAGATGGCAGTATCAGTGCAGAAAATAACGGAGCCGCTGCTGATCGGCGAAGGTCCGCATTGGGACGAGGATACACAAGCTCTCTACTTCGTCGGCACAAATGAACAGACTATACACAAATGGGTGCTAGAAACCGGCGTTCATACAAAAACCATGTTACGTGTGTATAATTTTTTACTATGGAATAACTGCAGGCGTTAGGCTCGGAAATTAATACAAATCTTAGTTTAAAGTTTGTAAAGCAAAGGGGTTTTTACTTGAATGAAAGCTTTCCTCATTGCACTTTGTTTTCTGTTTTTTCTTGATCTTTCTATATATAACCTTTTTTCTTAATTAATGCTCTTAAATATTTTATCAAATCTTTTTCCACTTATTTTTATAATTGCATTATTTTAGATGGCCGCGTGGGTTTTATAATCCCAGTAGAGGGCGTCGCGAATCAATTCGTAGTCGGCGTTGAACATAAATTCTTGATAATATACTGGGACGGTGAAGAAGGCAGTGATGTTGATATTATTAAAGAATTAGGTGAAATAGATCAGGACGCACCAAATACTTTCCTTAATGATGGCAAAGCTGATCCGAGAGGCAGACTGTTTGCAGGTATACCATTTATTAAACGTTTAAATAATCAATTGGTTACTTCGTCAATGATTATGCAATAATATCTATCCATTCTCCAGGTACAATGTGTGATATGGGCCCCGGCGTAGAATTTATACCCGAAAAGGGTGCGTTCTACCGCTTAGATGACAGAGGGATCACTCAATTGTGTGACAAGATCACAATCTCTAACGGTCTCGCCTGGGACCTTCAGGAGAAGGCTTTCTATTACATAAATACTGTAGAAAATAAGATCAGGCGATACGATTATGATGTAGAAACCGGAGAGATTTGTAAGTTATTCTTTTGTAACTAGATGGCGTAACAATACTACATTTATTATCTGTGGATTACACCAAGGTGGCAGCTGAAATCGCGCCAAATCTGTAAACTCTGCTTTCTTATTATTTAATTTTACATAAAACGAACGAATTCTCGTACTTTTGCCTTGTTTCGAAGATTTTTAATAGAACTATTTTTTTCAGCTAATCAAAGGCACATATTTGACTGTAAGAAGAACAAAATGACCGGTGGTCCTGATGGAATGACAATAGACACGGAAGGTTATTTATGGGTCGCTTTATTCAATGGGTCAGCCGTCATTAAAGTTGATCCGAAAATTGGCACCGTCGTGAACAAAGTGGCCATCCCAGCTGAGCAGGTCACTTCTGTTACCTTCGGAGGACCTAACTTAGACATCCTGTTTGTTACCACGGCTAGTTTTAATCTAGTTACAGAACAGAAACCGCCTTGTGGCGCCACATTTATGGTGACAGGTTTAGGCGCCAAAGGACATCCTAATGTCAAATTTAAATTGCGCTAAAAGTGTAATTAGCTTTTTATATTGATTTTAAGCGAGCTTAAATGATTGTTTAAGTTATAGATTGCTTGACGTATGTAATATATTTTAAAACTTTTGTTTGTTTCTTATTTAACAATCCACATTCATTTAAACAATCTTAGGTTAATTTTAAAACAAATAAAAACATTTAATGCACACCACAGACTTTTTATCTGCTGATATCGCTTGATTGATAATGCTTCGATTCGTTACTAAATAAATTCGGCAAGTAAAAATCATAAGTATAATCTAAATGGTCGGTCAGGCCTGATTAAGCGCTTTTTGTCGCATTACGAAGCGATGGTGACTACATAACAATTTTAAAGATAACAAAAATCACTCAGTCACTGTTGTAAGTAAATACAGACTATCGCCGTCTGTAAAAATCAGGTTTAGTTAGCCAATTATATAAAAACTAAATAAGCAAGTCATTATATCACTGTTGTTTTGGTGATAATAAAAATGCGTGTTGTAATGTAACATCAGATTACATACAGTATATACAAAGTTATAACGCGCGTAGATTTAATATTATGTCAGATGTGCTAAAGTGAAGTAGGAGTTTAGGGAAATATATGTAAAAAAACGCATCGATATAAGGTAAGTTTTTATTTTCTATATACTTGTGTAATTTCACTAAAACTCGTCTCAGAAACCAAAATCAACGTTTGAATGTCAAACCAGTGTAGTGTCCTTGTGTTAAAAGATTTAGTTAATTTAATCGCTTCACCACTAGATGTCAGTATCAGTACAAAAGGTGACCGAGCCCGTGGTGATCGGCGAGGGCCCGCACTGGGATGACCAGAGCCAGGCGCTTTACTTCGTCAGCATTGACGAGAAGACCATACACAAATATGTGCCAGAAACAGGGGTTCATACTAAAACTAAGTTATGTATGTTTATATTTTTTTTAATTTTTGTATAACTGCAAATCCTGTGAGCCATTGGATATATCAATTGTTTTTACTTTCCCCAGTAGATCGCACTAAAATTAATGTTTATAGGAATTATTTCATGCCTTTAATTTTAACTTCAGTTTGTCTATTTAAAGTAGTAAAAAGTGTATATCGATGCGTTTTAACTTATTGACGTTATTTTATTTCTCTCGAATGTTTTTCAGCTGGTCGTGTGAGTTTTATAATATCTGTAGAAGGTGAGTCGAATCATTTCGTTGTTGGCGTGGAGCGTAAGCTCTTGATAATCAAGTGGGACGGCGAGGAAGGCAGCGAGATCGAGATTGTTAAGGAGTTGGTTGAAGTAGATTCAGAGTCACCTACAAATAGGTTTAATGATGCCAAAGTTGATCCAAAAGGAAGATTATTTGCAGGTCAGTACGTATAATATATGGTGTTCGTTTTTTTTTGTAATTTGCATTAAAAAAGAACGTTCATATTTTGTTGACTGATAAATGACCCTATGACCTAACTACAATAATAACTACTAAACTAAACTAATGAAAATCGTATGTTTAATGCTAGCCTAGCCCGGTGTAATACCACGACCACACAGAAAACAGGCGTGAATTGGAAGCAATTCCGCGTTTCGTCTGATGAGTGTGGCGCCGGAGGACCAATTTTAGTCCCTTTTCCTTTCCACCCTTTTCTTAAGAGGAAAGGATGGGAGGGAAAAGTGGATTTGACGGTGGTGGAGATGCATAGGAAGGGGAAATGTCTTCTTTATGTGCGTCTCCTCCTCCGTCAATAAGGGTAGGCAACGCATCTGCAATTGCGGATGTTTATGGGTAGCGGTCGCTTTCCATTTCGGTGGATTCAGGTGGGCGCTTGCTCGTTTGCCACCTCGTTTTATATAAAAAAAAACAGAGCAATATGACTTTTTGATTGTTTTTTTTTTATAAAATAAAACATTTTGTTCTATAATATATTTGCATTGATTACTTTGGTACTTAAAATTAAGATTAATTTTGTTTATAATCCATTGTTTTAGGTACATTAGGTGAAATGGGACCTACGGGTGAATTTGAAAAAGGGAAAGGCTCGTTGTATCGCTTAGACGATAGGGGATGTGTCAAATTGTGTGAAAAGATCGATGTCTCAAACGGGCTGGCCTGGGACCTTACGGAGAAAGCTTTCTACTACGTCGATTCCTTAGAGTACAAGATTAGAAGATACGATTATGATGTAGAAACTGGAGACATTTGTGAGTTCATATTTATTTTATTCAACGAGCTGTGCCCGCAAACTTTGTTAACGCAAAGGACCACTGTTACGATTGAAAGCGCGGAATTAAAAAAAGGTAGCCTGTAATATGCCTATCTATGTCCGCTACCCTCCAGAGAAAATCCTGTCGAAATCGGCCCAGCCGTTTCGTAGATTATTCGGAACAAACTCGGCTTACGGAAAGACAATTTTTTAAATGTGATGTTCCTTCAGCAACCCAAATACACCATCTTCCTGAAATCTGGAATTTTGCTTTAAATATTACAAGCACATTCTCATTTTATTAGATTATTATAGATTTGCTTTTAGAGTTGGCGTTGGATCTATTCGACAGTTGTTTAATAAATGTAAATAAACTATTTTTTTTTATTTCGCAGCTAATAAAAGGTACATATTCGATTTTAAGGAGAATAAACTAATCGGTGGTCCGGATGGATTAACCATAGACACGGAAGGCAATCTATGGATTGCCATATTCTATGGCTCTTGTGTTCTCAAAGTGGACCCGAGGAGTGGTACAGTATTAGACAGAGTACCAATACCAGCCAAGCAGATCACTTCTGTCACTTTCGGAGGACGCAACTTGGATACTTTGTTCGTGACAACGGCTAGCTTGCCAATAGATGGGGAACAGAAGCCGCCTTGTGGCGCCACTTTCATGGTCACAGGATTAGGTGTTAAGGGACACCCTAATGTTAAATTTAAACTGCCCTCTAATTAGCAAAGTCAATAATTAAAAACAATTTTGTAACAGATACTGTTTTTTATTAAAATTGCCATGTCGCAAAGAATTAGTAACAAAAAGGTAAACTGCAACAAAATAAACTAAAACCTTTTTAATAAAAAAACAAAACCGACTTCCAAACAAAATACACTAAAAACAAAATATTCTCAAAAAAAAAAAACAGTACACTAAAAAGTAACGAAATAATTCCTTCAAAATATAAAACCTCCCTTATTGTAACTGTTATGTCTATATTGTACATTTATTATTACTTTGATGTCGGTGTCAGCCAAGGTATGCAGTGATATTTATACGTAAGGGTTTCTACATCTGTACCAAAACAATTGACAATTGAAAGTATAGAAACAATTAAGTAATGAATCTAACTGACAGTAATGAGCAGACGAGATATAGTCCTTAGCTGTCGGTCTTGTTGCTTTTGCGCTCTGAAAATGTGTTTAAAATAAAACAAAACATAGTATTGTGTAAATTGTATTTACCTCATGATGAATACATGTCACATCTCGGTCATATATCGGATATTACAAAGGTTAGAGTTGCGAGGCTCGGCGCGGCGCGGCGCGGGGGGAGGGGGGAGGGGGCAATACACGCCGGCCGAGGCTAGAACTTACACGGAAAGCTGGAATGTTAGCGCACCGCCTCCTATGTACAATACGGGAATTCACTAATCATCTATTTTACATTTAACTTCCTTAACGTGAAGGTAACATTAGTCTTTGGTAGCGCGAGCCGCGTGCGGGACGTGGCGGTGCCGCGGGGCGGGGCGGGGGTGTGGGGTTGGCTGGGGGGTGGGGGGTGCGACATCGAGTCCCGCGCACTGGACGCGCCTTGGCACTTGTGGAGGTCAGTGTGTCGCGAGCGACGTGTCGGGAAACACGTACGCGAAGGTAAAAAAAAGTCATCCGTCAAAAAACAATACCGAACTGTAGGGTTTGCTGCATTGGCTGTTTTCAAACTTAAAACAATCAGTCAGCATAATAATTAATCTAATAAATAGCCCCGCAGTATTTTAAGTGTTAGTCCTTCGAGCCGGAAAGCCTACCTTGATTTGTAATTAGGAATGTTTATATAATAAAAATTTAGATGTATAACTGTATATTACATGTTCATCCTAACAAAGCAGGGGCTGCACAGAATCGCGGCCCCGGGCCACTTTGAACCTAATTTTTCTAGTAAACATATTGAAGTTACAAGTTACCATCATTATTGTAAATTCACGATCTTACAAACCCAAATAAACAGTCAAGTATACAAAAACACGTAAAAAAAATACCTTCGAGCCCGTACATACCCCGACGTAAAATACAAAACCAAGATACTGTTACAACAGCACCAAATTGTGAACAATTTGGTCTATATTTGACTAGATTGTCGTTGAAAATGTTTCTTTTTGTGATCTACATTAAATAACCCGAGGCCGCGCCCTTAATTATATAATACTGTTACAAAATCTGTGTTCAGAGCCCCTGTACATCACGACACGTTACACCTTCACGCTATTTAAAAAAGGTACAAAATGCGCCATAGATTGGGCACATTTCAGTTTGAAAGCTGTAGAGGTATTACACTGGCGTTAAGTGTTAACTTAATAAATTAGGTTAAACTAGTCAATAAATAGAAGGAAGCGTTCAACAAGATAGGTCTAGTTGGTACTAGAACGTGACCTAGGTACTACTTCGATAGAAACGCTACATACAAACCGTTATTTACAATACATTAGCTAATAAATCCACCAAATTAAAATCGGTTAGCTATACAATTATATATTTTATTTAGTTAACTATTGTGCTCGTCGCGACATCGACACGGCCGCTGCTTACTGACATTGTCAAAATAAACATATTATTAATAATAATATTAAATCATATTATATTAATTAATAATGTTAAATGCATTACTAAACATGATTTGTCCTAACTAAATTGCGTTAATAATAAAAAAATTACACATGACAGAAACTGACAAATACCTATTATTTATTAGTATGTAAAAAAATCCTTTTATATTGATCGCAATCGGCGGGCAGTCGCGACGAGCGTATTGTAAAACGCTTAACAAAAATATACCCCTAGCTAAGTTCCGATTGTATGCAATTACAATGTAATTAATAAAATAGATAGATTACAAAACGTCGTAACACTGTACACGAGACTAGTTTGTGTGCGTCCGTCTGTTTGTTGCGACAACCAGACCGAGATAGATGCACTCCACAGACTGCACGCCGCTCCCTTCACTGCGCGACGTCAAACTGACAGTGACAGCTGTCAACGTCAATCTGACCGCCAATTCAACATATCGATTTCAAAGCGGATTCCCTTCGATTTATAGCGGGGAAACATTCAAACACTCACATATAAATACAATCGGGCACATTGAACTCTAGACAGACAGACAAACGGAGAGGCACACATTTACCTACGTTAAGCTAATATATACAGGCCCGGGGGCTCGGCATGCGGCTCCAGCCCGGTACACTCTAGTCTAGACTGGTCTACACCAGTCTAGATTAGTCTATACAAATCCCGACCAGTCTACACCAGTCAAAATTAGTCTATACCAGTCCAGACTGGTCCATACCAGTCTTGATTGGTTTATACCAGTATAGTTTAGTATATACCAGTCTAGATTAGTCTATACCAGTTTAGACTTATTCATAGCACGTTACTATTAAATGTTACTGTAAGCCCTATATAATTCACTGTCACTCAGTGATTTAATAGTCGCTGAAGGAACCCTTAGGGTACGTTTATTATGAAACTTCAATCTAAGGAACGCCTTTAATGGCCATTAAACAACTCTGAGTGACTGTTAATGTTTTACAAATTAAGTTTGACGATTTCTCGCATTATTTATATGGAAATACTTCTGTGATGTTTGAAATATACTTAATTATTGAGTACATAGTATGTTTATATAAACATAACACAATTTCCAAGATTATTTTCACCTTTAAAATTGTGATATGTTTTAGAAAATATTAGTTATACTAAGAATCATAAAATACCACCGAAATTATAAATTAAAAGAGAAAACGCGCAGAATTAATTTTTCTAAATTTCATATATTTGAAATATAATATTTCCAAGTATCAAATTGCGGTGATATTTTACAACTCGACTATGTAACTAATATTTGGCATCAAGTATCAAGATTGTTCATTTTACAAACGCCGTAGTACAAGTCTAGCTATGATCCGGAAATATTAAATCTTATATATTAATTAACCAGCATATTCAAATGTATACAAATCTAATTAAATACGAAGTTTGTAAAATGAACTTCTAAAAAATTTGTAAAATGAACACACACGATATAACCTCAAAAAACATATTTATATATCGATTTAAATTTAAAAACATATAGAAAAAGTTGATATTTTTTTATTTGAACATAAAAAATAGCACAATATAACATTAACCATACTCAGAATCGCTTAATAATTAATTAGACAGGCTCAATTTTAATATTGCTTTTTAAGGTTATATCAAGTGCGGCCAATACCTATTAGCGTAACAATAAATATCAGATTACAAGTTTAAGTACACAATTCTACTTAGTTTCGGAGCATCATTACCGTTACATAAGCGTACATATCTAAACTGCATTTAAATATACACATTTATTGAAATCTTAACATATGTATCAACAACGCTTTATTAAACAAAACCACCAACATGGCAACACTCAGTCGACAGTGTGGCTATACAGTACCATAGAAACACGTTTCAGGGAACAAAAGTTTTACATTTTGAGATATTTCAGTACATTTTGATACGAAAGTAAACTACATTTTTTAAGTAGAAAATCTGAACGGTCTGAAAATTTTCAAACTGACCAGTTACAGTCCGACTGTTAACAATTCAATAGGAGCCAACACAAATATTTCTGGCAACACTGTAGTTTACGAACCGTTGTAGTTGTAGATCTCTTTTATCACGCACTAACGAATGTCGCTAGTGTCTGCGGCGCGGTTAGTGTCTGCGGCGCGGCTAGTGTCTGCGGCGCTGGTGTCGCTGGTGTCGCTAGTGTCGCTAGCGCGGCTAGTCGATGGCGTGGTGTCAGGAGGCAGGGGCGTGCGGGTGCGGGCGCGCGGTGCGCTCCGTGCCCGCCGCCAGCAGCGCCGCGAACTCCACCTCCAGCACCTGACGAGCCTGAAAACGCATTACACAACATGTTATAAAAATATATACTGTTTAAAAATAAAAGCGGGAATAACGAGTTTTATCGACGCCTATGGAAATCCGCAATACCAGAGGCTCTGCTAATGCGTTACCAGCCTTTAAAAAGATGACATTTTCGCTTTTTGAAGAGCTCTAAGTTGTAGCGGTTTGGAAATACCGCCGAGAAAAGAAAATTTCTACCGGTTAGGTAGGAAATTTCGCGTAAAATACAGTTGAAGGTTGCCAGGGATCGAGATAAATTTATTAAATCACTGTCAATTTGTATTCTAATTACTTAGCCAATAGCATTTCTTTTGAGTCTATTTAGCATCCAGGGAAATTCGTGTTTAATATTAGTGTACCTGTGTGTTTTGTGTGGGTATCTGCAGCGCCAGCGCCATGCTGTTAGCATCGAAGCTGTCGTCGAGCGCGATGAGAGCTCCGTGCACGCCGCTCTCAGACAGATTGCTCGCGAACTCCTGACAAAAGACTCAATAATACAACAATTATCAAACAATAGGGAGTCCCAACCTTTTTGTACTCTAGAGAACATTCTAATATATCATTCGAGTGGCGGGCACCACCTATTTTTACTTAACGAACTTTGATAACTTCTCATTTTTCCATTATTTATTTATTACATTCATAATTTCAAGTAGCCGAGGAGCTAGCCATTAGGTAAGTTGCAACAAGTACTGTCAGCAAAGAACCACGCATACATACGAACGTATTTAATAAACCTAGCTTTCTAGGCACACCAAAAAAATTAAAACTTAATATAAATAAGTTATACTTCGTCAAAAATTTGGTCGCACGCGGGCACTAGGTTGGTAACCTCTGGTGTACCAGCCAGGGGGTCGTACCTTGAGGTTGATAGTGAGCAGCCAGCGCTGCAAACGTTCATTGGTCCACACCATGACGTCACGCACGCAGTGCTCCGCCGACCGCCGCCGCTCCTCCAGCGCGCGCACAGAGTACCCCACGCGCTTTAGACACGCCACGCCGAAGTGCAGCGATGTCCTGTCACAGAGACACTTCACGTCACACGAGACACTGGACACTATACACGCGGCGCATACGGCGCGGCACCTCACCTGTGGAAGCTGTCGACCATCTTGAGCTGAGTGCGCAGGTCGCGCTTGGTGAGGTGCTCCAGCATGCGCGCGTCTACCAGGCACTCCATGAACGTGGTGCGGTACTGCGGCAAACCTGCACATAGACATGTTAATAAATAACTTAACATAATAGCGGTACATTTAAATACTTTATAAAAAAAAAAAAACAAAAAAATAGGCTACAAAGTCATTTCGAGAGCAGAACATTGAAGTAGTGCTGAATACTTCATCTAAAGGCGTTTCGAATTGACCAAGTTGGTCCTCGGAGCAGGATAGTTCCACAAGTACGTAGTAAGTGCGTACCTAGCGAGGGCAGCCAGACGTTGCCAATCCATTCGTGGTTCATGTCCCCGAAGGCGAGCGCTGCGCAGGCGGTGCCGCGCGGCGCAGACGGCGACGTCAGCGACACCATCTCCTGGATGGCCAGCCGCAGCTTCAGCCGGTGCAGGGGGTTGCTGATACCTACCATATTATACAACAATAATAAGCAAAAGGAAATATTTAATTTTCCTATTCCGGTTAAGGCGAACCATCTGCAACTGTGTAAATTTTGTTTTTAGAAAAAAATGCCTTGGCGCTCCATGAGACATAGGAGCTATGTGCCCTGGTTTGTCGCGCTCAGGCTTAGTGTTCACTTATCATAAGCTACTTTATGGACTAAAAACCCCATCTATGAACTATTTGAACCCCATGGGACTAACATGTAGTTTTCGTTGTGTGTGTGTGTGTGTGTGTGTGTGTGTGTGTGTGTGTGTGT